GTTTATTTTTATTCCTGGCTCCAGAGGCAAGGAGCTGCATTCAGCAGCTGAAGGAAATTAACAGCCACCTGGGTAGTGTAAACACTTGCAACTGATAATCACAATCAGTTCTCACTCCCTTGCCTTGAGGAAACTTGCCTGCTGTTAACTCTTGCTATCCAACACTTTGCAAGATCCTTGCACTTTCCCTTTTTAAGGCCTGCAGCAGATCATGACTTGCTGTTTGAAAAACACTCCTGTAAATGATAAATTTTCAAGCAATATTATTTTTATTGCTGCAACTATATGCAAATTGTATCAGCAATGTGTTCCCCAGCACAGGTAGAAGAAAGAAATAAATATTTAGCTGAATGTGAAGAAACTTTTGCTATGAAGTACAAACAAAACACTGATAAAGAGAGATGGGGTGTGAACATAGTTGTATAATAAGCAATGACAGCTTGTCTATAACATCTCTTCTTCAGATTCAGGTCACAAATTTATTTACATTATTTAGTGTTTCTGTGTAATGGTGTACATGATCTACCTTGGGAAAATACAGTCCCTGGTGTTAGGATTACCATCAGTCACTCCAGAAACCTGTGTAGCGCTGTGATACTGTTAGCTAACAGATACAGGTTCTGTACTTATCAATGAGTACTTACTTTCTGGCAGCTCTCAATGAATTCGTCTATGGTAACTACTCCATCTTTGTTTTTGTCCATTTTCTGTTCAGAAAGAATAAGATTGTATGTTTATCCTCCTGAAATCCTGTGTAAAACAAGTTCTTTTTGTAAGTCATTTCAGTTATATGTCAGCCTAGGAACAACGAGGCCAAAATGCTGTAAAGATGTAGTAAGTGATATACTAGGATAAGCTTAAGGAGCTTATTGTTGAAAAAGCAAGGTGCAGTGAGTAGATCTGAGAAACTTGGGATGGAACCACAGAGAAGAAAAAGGATGACAAAATAGGGAGAATATGCAAAACCATTACAATAATTAAAATCTTTCCATACCAGCTAACAGAGCAGTCTTTTTGGCTTCTATGTTACCTGACCCACCTGGAAAAATGTTTCCACGTGTTGTCTAGGCGCATCCTCCTTGAGAACAGGATAGGTGCATTTCCCCATCATATCATATATTGCTTTCATGATATCAAGCATTTCCTGAAGAGAAAAAAAAATGTCTGTGTGATATAAGGTGCACTGAAGACACTGATTTGACTCAGAATACATAAATGGCTTTTAGGATTTACATTTTGGAATAAAATTTTGAGATTGTGCCTGTTATTTTATGACTGAACAGATTCAAGATGGAACTACTATGTTCCTAGCAATTCTAGCCTGTCAGTTCAGCTTTCATAGATAAACTTGTTAAACAGATGCAGATGTAGGATTTTGATTTTAAAGGATTTAGAATATGTGCACAAGTTCATGGATTGTGGGAAGAATCTCTTGAGGTCTTGTGAATAAAACTATACAGGAAAAGAAGTTCTGTAACAGCGAGTGAATGGTCAAAGCACATCAGCTTCTTACAACTGAGTTTTCCCTAGAGAAAATAGAAGCATGCATGCACACACATACACATATGTAAAGACTCCTCCTTTCATATCAAAAGCTTTGAATTTTGTTAATAGAGTGGTTTGTGAAATCTATAAGAATAATTATTTTAAAAGTCATCTGCCATTATGCTTAGTTATTATTCTATAGATTATTATTTTATAATAATCACAAAGCAGTTTTCTAAAAGTATAAAATTGTATAAAATATATGTATTTGCATAAAGACTCAATGTTGAAAACCATTTATTTTTATGAAGGTATTTACTTGGTCCCACTGTAATTTATGTGCTTAAATCCTTGCAGAATGAAAGATGTGGGAATCTTTTTTATATAAATTCTGTTTAGTAAAAATTTTTAGAAATAGATTTATAAAATGGGTAACAATTGTGGCTCACTTACTTAATTCTTTTTTGTCCAAATATTCTACTGTACTACTTTATTCTAGTGACTCTATGTCCAATACATAGGCATAAGTTGGAACCAAACATTTCTGGACCTGGAGAATTCTGACATTTTACAATTTCTGTGATGATTTTCCCATTTCAATTTTTACATATACATTTAAAATGAGAAAATTAATTTTAGCATGTCTAGTTTCATAGTATGTTATGTGTTTATTTGTTGACGTATACAACCTTTAGTTTCAGTGATTAGGGTAAAAAGTAGACCTTACCTCTTTAGTTATATATCCATCCTTATTTATATCATACAAATTGAAAGCCCAGTTCAGTTTCTCCTGTACTGTCCCTCGGAGTAAAATTGAGAGACCCATAACAAAATCCTGAATAGACAAAAAGTCTTGGTCAGTTTGGAATTGAGCAGTTTTTCGCAAACACGCAGAAATCCAGAATGTGTTCATCAGAAGCACTGAAGTCTTGAAAGATGTTTTGTTCCTATTTCTGTTGCTTCACAGCAAGTGTTAAAGATCGCTGGTTATTTAAATAATTAAAAACCTAGGCACTGTATGCTACATGTAATTAATAAGTAAATTGAGTAACTTTCTATAAAATAAGCCGTAATTTTCTGTTAGTGGATTTATTCTCTGAAATGCTTCACATAAGCAGTTGCTATTGAACTTAATACAAGGGAAAAGCAATCCCCATGGTTTAATGGTCCAAAAAAAGGCTTAAGTGGGAGTTAGATTAATCTAAGCACAGAAGACCAATTTTGGGAGAACTGTCTGCTAAGGAACATTAAATTCTTGCTAAAGCTATACCCTATTGGAAGTGGAATATGTGGTTCCCAGACCTATTCGATCAACCTGTGCAGTCAACATTTGAAACTCTGTGTATGGTAGAGTACACCTCAATACTTAAACCTTTTTTTAGAAATATGATAGGGAATGATATTTATTATGTATCCGTGTACCACCTTAATGGTTTTGTGACCCACTAGTGCTCTATTGCTGTAAAGCTATTCTACAGAAATAAATCAGAAGATTTTTGAGGTTATTTATATGTAGTATTTGGTTATAGATTTTTGTTTCATAATTATTACTTTTTTGACAGCACAAACCTCATTTACATTTAGTAAGCATCTGCCAGATTAGAGGAAATATCAACTGGGATGTTTCATCACCTCCTTCTTTATTTCTTAGCATATTAACTTCTTTTTTTTTAACAATCACTTTTTTCCCTGTCTCCTCCACCTTTTTCTATTTGATAAGCTTGTAAATCCATAAATCTGTGAAACTGTCGCAATAATATGTTGAGCATTTCTCTGTCATTGGCAAATACATACAGGAAATCTTGAAGTAACATTAAGGCAGGGACAATAAAAGCTGAAAAATTTCTTATCAGCACCAGCAAAATGTATGCATTTCCTTAAAACAGGAACAATGGAAAAGACTGCACTGAGGTTAGACATAAATCACAAAGGTCTGATGTACCACACAGTCAAATAGATATACCCGAGACAGTGAAGCATACACAGATATCATGGCCTCAAGATGGTCTTGTAGGCACAGACAGCTCTTTTCACAGCTGCAGTCTTTTTAACAATTCAAGTGGTATGCTCTGGGATTTCTGAGTCTGTCATAAGATTCTGTCATGTTGGTATATGTGCCCTTTAGGGTAAATGCATACATGAATCTTAAAAGAGTTTTGCTCAACATGTCTTGTCTACATCTCAATGACTAATTGAGGGTCATAGGGTTAAATCTCCAAGCAGCTCTTTAACAATGTACTATTAAGTATTAAAATGTTCAAGAAATTTAGAACAGATTTGATCTCATTGCAGCATTAGCAACCTATTTAATTCAGTATTATGTATTCAAATCTTTTCTGCACTCTCTTACATTCTTAATTTTCTCATAGTAGTATATTTTGAAACTCTGAATTTATTTTTAATTTAGCAACAGCAGCATTTTTGCATTTATTCTATCTAAATCATATCTATTTTTCTTTTCCTGATTATTTCTCTTCCTTTCTGTGATCCACTACCCATACGTTAGCCAGCTTCCTGGCACCATTTATACCCCTATTTGCAATGCTGCCTTTCTATCATCTGTTTTAAAAACCACACACAAAACCCCTTGACTTCATGCTGTTTTGCATGGGACTAAATGTCCTCAGAAAAGCTGAGACAATTCAAAAACCTTCCAGGTGCGTGCTCTAAACTTTGCAAGAGCTGGTCATCTCCTTCCATATTGCAACAACCCATTTGGGATTCATACACAGTTCAGTTCAGCATCGCCTTTGAGTATTGTGTCCCATCCCAGGAACGTCTCATAAGAGGAAGTTGTGATGAGCTGAATAAGGACCAGATAGGATGCGATATCTTTTCTACATACTTACTGTCATGCAATTGAAGAATATAGCAATAAAATCACATAGAAACAGAAAATCTGATTCAATGGACATAGGCTAAATCCACAGGATATTTTGGGCTAGATCCTCAAAGAGAAAAATGCTCTGCAGGGTGGAAGGCAATATGTGCATCAGGAGCATTACAGTGATGCTAGCTGTTAAGGTAGTAATCCAGGCAGTCTGCCATAGTAAAGCAACAGTGCTGAGCGCAGCAGCTAAACTCAGAGCATGTCCCATTACATCAGAGTACTCAGATGTCTTTTCCTCCCTGACTTAGACATCTGATTTCTTGGCAGAGAGGAATTCTACTTTTAGAGCCTATTTATTTTTTAAGTAAGGCTCTCAGTACTGCTTGGACACTCGCATCCCCTAAGGATGCCAACACTGTCCACTGAGGACAGTCCTGCTCAGCTGAGCATCTAATGAGGAGAGGTGCATCTGATCAAGGGTCACAAGGGAGCCTAAAACTCCAGAGAAGGTCTGGACTGTGACACAACTCTAGGTCAGGTCTCTCTTCAGTCTGTGGCAGTGAAGTTAGGCGCACAGAAGCCTGTGCTTTGGTATTTGCCTTTACTCCTTTCCACAGCTTCCTAACTTGCTAGCTTCCTG